ATTCTGTGTTTTTCTGTCAATATGGGGTGCTGTGTGTACATTAATGAGGAAAAAAATGAACTTAAATGATTTTAGCATATGGCTGCAATATAACAAAGAGTGAAAAATTTAAGGGGGTCTGAATACTTTCCATACCCACTGTATAATAATTTATTCCTTCTCACATACAGGGGCGCAAATTGTCATCACAGCAATGATAACACAGAGGTAGACAGTGGCTCATTGAAGAAGAGGAGTTATCATAGTTTTTCCAAACTGACACTTTTAATTTAACTGTGCAGCACTAAAACACATGATGTGTGGAACAGACCTAAAAATGTGAAGGTCTTCCCAGCATTGGTGACTCCATAAGTGAAAACAAGAGAGTGTCCACCTACAAGAACATCTTTCACCAGCTCTTTCACTGTGCCTTCAAACAGCTCTCTCTGTGTAGTCTCAGGACCATACACCTATTGAAGGACGGAGAAAGAAACTCATCAGTAATGAGTCAAACGTGCTCTGGCTTTCTCATCTGCCAGGAAAACCCCAACCTGAGAGAACTGGAAGCGCTGTCCAGTCTGTGGAAGTGATCTGTCGACACTAAGCCTGGGGGACTTCAGAAGAACAGTGTCAGGGGCCTCTATGGTAACACAGTCCTGATGAAAACAAACAGGAAAAAGTAAAGAAAAATATTGAGAAGGAGACAAGACAACATTTTTTCTCTGTCTTTCAGACTTATTCTGTTTGAAATGACTGATAGCATAAAGTTTGAGCTGTAAACCAAAGGATGTTTTTGGTAGGGCATCTTATGAGTAAATGTCATGAACAGATTCTGACAACCAGAAAAAAGCAGTTATCAAGAACGCTTCAAGTCACTGGAACTCATTTCTGACCCCTGACTGTACCTGCATATTCATTTTTCCTTCTTTTTTTACCTGTGACTCTCCATTATGGCTCTCTGTGGAGGTAAAGGGTCGGATGCGGAGGTAGACATGAAGATGTTCTTTCTCCTCGATGCCAGAATGCTGCACGACACATCAGGGTTCAATCAAAAACAGCGCAGTACAGTGAAAGACCACTTTTTTGGCTTTAAGTTGAACATCACAGTTAGTTTTTAGATGACAAGAAATTATCAGTTGGGACTTCAGAACTAAAATATAGTGTCTGAATAAATGGAATAATCACACATCTGAATATAAGAAAGTAAATTCAGGAGGAATTATAATGAAGTGCAGGTTTCATCTGTTTATCTCTGTTTATATTCTGCTCATCGTCACCTTATGGTGATACCTTATTATTAATGTGGTCAAAAGGACTGACAGCATCATTTTCATTACCCTGTCAGTACCAGCTTTACCTGTGAGTCTGATAAAGTGCTAAATTGTGACGGGAGGTCTCTCTTCAAATCGTCCACATCTGCCTGTTCTCGTTTGTCAGCCTTGTTGTCCAGGTATGATTCCATCATCCTGCAACGAAAAAGCCAAGGACAGAGCAGGTTTAACGATAAACCAGAGGGTATCAAAAGGCAAAGGGGCATTTGGACCAACTTTACCCTACACCAAAGACAAAAGTAAGTTAGCATGTTGCCGCAAGGTTTAGGCAATAACGTTATGTCACGTCCTTCAAACAGCTGGCTCTTTGACACTTACTGCAATGGCACGTTCAACCTGTCTGGGTTTACCACGAATTCCCCGTGCACGTTTCACCCAGCAGCTCTTACAATAGTTCTGTTAACCAATGGCTGGAAATGGCACATCAACTGGAAACGGTCTACCTTTATTTTTAGCTAGCACTACATAATACGTAGTACGTAAGGTGGCCCGGGTTTTGTGTCGAAACGTATTTCCCCATGTTCAGACTATAGAATCAGTCCCCACATCCTCGGTGGTCAGGGTAGGGTTCAGGTGAAGCTCCTAAGGCGAACACACTTCGACACAACACCGAAGTTATGAGCTCCCGCCCCATATTTCCCTTGTTATCGTTTTCTGTTATATTTCTGCTGATATGTGGGCTATAGTTGGTTGAAAGTTGCTTTACAAAACTGTGATTCTTTTTGCGAAACAATAACACTAACTTTTCTTGGTCAAGCTAGCCACACCTGTCAACTGATGATTAGCTTAATTTATATCATAGTTTACCAAGCGAGCGTTAAATTTCCTTAAACCAATTCAACACACACCACTTCACATGTAACATTACTCAGCAAACTACTTACCTGATAGTTGTGCTTAGAGCATCCGATAAAGAGACAGAAACGGTATCTTGTGTGCAAACTGAGGTCAAGCTAAACAAAACAACACAAACGCGGTCCGAGTTTAAAACGGACCAATCGGATTCAAGCAGAGACTGCCCATGCGCACTTTTAGTGCTGCATTCTGAGTCCACTTTTTGTGCTCGGAAATCAGGACACCCATGAAAAGTGTGGCAGTGCTGTGTTTATGGTAACAAAATCCCATTGTAATAACATGAAATAACAGTTATAGAGCATGGCCTGACATCTACAAGAACTTTCCCTTCCTAAGATTTTCTTAATGCAAATAAACTGGGAGGACATATGGTTGGAAACTTGTGTGGGGAAAGTACCCAGCTATCTTTTTAAGATGTTGTATTCCAGGGGCTGCTGCTGTGCAGATTTGTCACATTGGTGACATTGTGGAACAGTAGATGCATTTATATTTAACCACCTGTCAAAGTCCAACAAAACCCAATAGGTTATTTGTACATGATCACATGCTTTATGACTGGTATGCCCCAATAACAGTCTAAAAATGACCCAGGTCACAGTAAAACCATATTTGTGTCACTTATGTAACTCTCAAGCTTAGGGAGTGATCACAGTCACTTCCTCAGTAGGTTAAAATGAGTAAATTAAACACTTTTAGGGCTGACAAACTGTAAAATACTCACTATAAAGAGACAACCTGGCAATATAAAGGATACAAACCAATAACTGAACACAGCCTGTGGAAGGCCATGTTTCTCTTTCCATTTAAAAGGAATATCTGAAGTCCTGAGCCATCTACTCATCAGATATAAGAATAATACATTTTTTCAAACATAATTTTCAGAAAAATATTGTCTTATGTTGTAGCCTTTTAAAACAATAGTGCACATTATTCAGTTGTGTACACTAATTGACACATTCTGGGTTCTGTACATTTTTTTTTTCTTTTAATTGAAATTATTTCCTGTTCATTCTTATTTCAGGGTTTCTGTCACTCAGTTTAGCTCAGTCTTAAAGGCTTACAGATCAGGTTTTTCTCAGTGACAAACGGCTTTTCAATTTTCATTTATTTAAACAACTCATAAATACAAGCAAAATGCACTTACATTCTTAACAATAAAAATTAATCAAATACCTTTCATATAGCACATATCTGTTTTGTCCTCATAAACCTTTGTCAAACGTCCTCTGAGCCAGCTGTGACTTTTCAGTGTCCTCTCTGTCTTTGTGTATGTGTGTTTGTGTGTGTGTGTGTGTGTGTGTGTGTGTGTGTGTGTGTGTGTGTGTGTGTTGGGGGTGGGGGGGTGTTACTTCATATATCTTCAAGGAGCCAGTAGCTAAAATGTCAGGTCATGCTGTAGCAGAGCTAAGGCCAGCTAAAGCTCTGTGTTTATCACTGAGGTGGCCTTGTTTCCAGATACTCAAACTGAGCTTCAGTAGAAGAAACTGGCAAAACCTGAGCACGATGAGCTTTGTGTAGAGTCAACTTACAAATAAATGTCAAATCAACAACTTGATTCAAAGACAATTATAGTTTTAGGGCTGGTTTTTGTAGCAGAAACAATACTCAACTTGCTCAGCTGTAGGTCTCCTCGGATGAACTAATACAGCGCAGATTCAAAAAGTTAGATTGTGTAAAAGTCACATTTTTATGTGACGTAAATGCATGAGCCTACAGAAGCCAAGGCCTAATGTAGTTGTTCATTTTACAGTGTAGGTGTTTGCTTTTGTTTAGATCAACTAAAAAAAAAGCAGCAGAATAAGCGTAAGCGTGTGAGTGCAGAGATTCTTCTTATCCTAATCCAAGAACTTAACTTCATCCTGTCTTGTCTCTCAGTCTTAAAATGTATAATACCAAAGAACTTAAATAAACTTGTCTGAATGTTTCAGTATAACAACACACATCACCTACCAGCCAGATGAGTAGTTATATACTAATACTGAAGTCATTATTAACCTCAGTATAACTCCAGACAATCAGTGACTCACTTATTAAGGATATGGTATTGATATAATCAATAATCACACTGAGTAAATCAATTGCTGGTAGTTTACATAAATCAATAAATAAGTCATCTTCTCGATGCAGGATCGCTGACTTCAACTCAGCTTAAAGTAAAAAGAAAAAAGAGAAATAACAAAACATCTTCACGTTGTCAGCCGAGACATTGTCCAGCAATGTTTGGCGATCAATGAATCTGTCAGTAATCACATTAACAGGTTCCTGTCAGATTTCACATTGTTGATCAAAGGCTTCTTAACGTCCCTGATGCTGTTTTTTACCATGTGACACTAGGTTACATATCATAGAGGAAGAATCCTGGCAATAGCCTACAGGCCAGAGAATCAGCCTGGAACGTTGCCAGTTCAAATCTCTGAACCAGAAGGTCAGTGACGAATACTGTTGTACTTAAGATAACCTCACCCAAACGCTCCAGCTGGGCCAACTGCAGAGTCACTATCAGTTATTTCCTGAATATATCAGACAGGCTGAATGGGATCTAGGGTGTGATAAGGTGGCAGATCCTGTGCCTGAATCTCTGAATTCCTGTTTTTACTGGATTCTACTCCTGATTTTACTGGTTCTACTCATAGGACCTCTCCTCACTGAAGTTATACAGGATGCTTTTGGCTCCGTTCTGCCATGAGTACAGTATCTCCAGGGGAGTTTTTCCTTCCTGCAGGGAGAAAAAAACACACGTATTTAGTTTTTCTTTAGCTTCACCCCTGTAGATATGTAGGTACAGTAGGTCTTTAAAGCTGATTATACATCAACACGGGGAAATAGGATGATTTTGAGGAACATGTACTTTACTTCAGTTTTTACTTCTATTTTATACTCTTCTATGCTTCATAGTGACATATTGCACCTTTCACTTTGGATTCATTCAACAGATTTAGTCACTTTCAGATCAATATTTCTAATGTAAAACATATGAGCTACCCAACACAATAGGAATTCAATCAAATCAGCCCCACCTCAACAATTTGAAACACTGAAGCACATCATACATATGAATCAATCAATTACAATGACCTAGTAGTATACAAAAACAAGGCTGACAGGGGCTAGTCCACATAATGAATAATTGTAAGTCCATGTTGGAGACCTGACCTCTGTGGTGATATGTAAAAAGTCAAGCTGTCATATCAGAACCATCAGGATTTATCACGAGTGTCCACAGTAAGTTTAACTGCAAACTGCCTGTTACAGTTCAGAAGGGTCATGGACTAAGTTTGGCCTGATGGTCAGATGATACATGAAGTTCTTGTGCACACGTGAATGTGAAGCTATGACCTTACATACATTTTCAGGGGATTGGCGCAGATCTCCAGAGTCATGTATGTGCTAAGGGGCTGTGCTGCACTTACGCAGTTTGTGGCGTCGACACTGGCCCCGTATATCATCAACAGCTTGATCATCTTGAATCTGTTTGTCCGCACAGCATCGTGCATGGGCGTGTCTCCATCCTTCAGATATACAGGTGACAGGTAACTGTTTCTCAGTAGGAATGACGACCTATCTAGTTTGTCATGAGGTATTGTCTTTCAGGTAAGAAATGGGGTCTCCTAAATGTACTGGGTCAAACTGATCTAAAAAATCTAAAAACAATAGCAAAAAGTATTTTATTGGTATGAAAATTCTTCTGCTTGGTGTAATAGGTGTAATCAACATATAAAATGAAAATGGTTCATTTCACATATTTGCAACCTCCCCCTGCATGTTTATATTACAAAGATACTGTTCGGGTCAATCAGACCCTGAACACAAGAGGTGTTTCATGTTAATTTATCAACATCACTTCATAAAAAGAAAAGATTTCAAAATGTAAAATAAAATTTAAAAAATCAGTGTCATGTAAAAATAATGTATTTTATATGTAGGTCTTTCCTATGTATATTAAAAAAGTTTTAACATGCATTTTTTATTAAAAACCAGTGCATTATCCTCATTGAACCATAATCTGTGAGAGGTGAAGAACACCACTGCACTAAATAGTGATTGAAATGGTTAGTAATGGTAAGATTTACCCAGGAACATCACTGCTGTTCCTGAGAAATGAACATAACAGGTGGGTTAAATCATGCAAAAATGATTAATTTGTTATGAAGTCATAGAGAATTCCCACACACTAAAACCCTGCTGCTAGCCTGTAGCTAAAACTATTGCTCCTCCAGAATGGACAAGCAATAACCCAGCTCTTACTACCATAACTTTAAACTGGGAGAACAAATGACTAAATATTTGATTACAAATGTGCAGAAAATGTCAACATATGCACTTCTCTACTACACAATCTTTTGGTTCTTTCATGATTAAACGTGAGGAAATACAACAGCTCTGTAGCAGATATAGTTTTAGTTTCAGCTTGTGCTGTCTGACTAGTCCTTACTCTGTCTTTGGCGTTGGTGTCTGCTCCACAGTGAATGAGGTGCTCAGCACACTCACAGTGTCCTGTCCTCACAGCGACATGGAGAGGAGTGCTGTACAGCTGAGAGGAGAGAGGAGAGAGACCAAAATCAAAAAGGTCACCACAAACTGAAACCTCACTTGTATATTCTGTGGACATGAGGTATATTATCAGAGACTTTCACATTTAAAAAATCCACTTTCTGTTAAAATATTTGCCTGGTGGGGTGCTGCAGCGTGCATTGCTGCCTTTTTAAAAAAGCACCACTAGATGGGGCCAAAGCAAGATGTTTTCTTTCTGGGTTCCCGTCAACATTTCCTTCCTGTCTTTTTCCTCTGACAGCAGAGGTGACCTCTAGTGACCCCTCTGCCAGTGTGCAGACATACCTTGTCTCTGGAGGTGAACTTGGCTCCCTGGTCGAGGAGGAGCTGCAGGGCTTCCAGGCTGCCTCCTCTGCAGGCCCAGTGGACTGCTGTGGCCTCCAGCTGCAGCACACACACATAGTGAAATGTTAGCCTGCTGCTGTGTGTCTATGTACATGTACTGTACCACAGAGACAGTGAAAGGACACAAGAGAAGATAAAGGTATGGAGTGGGGTACGGTTTTTAGCCTCTCACCTTGTCTTTCCTCTCAATGTCAACTCCAGCCTCCAGGAGCCTTTTCATGACCCCCACATGTCCTTTGAACGAGGCTTTGTGCAGCGCTGTTTTCTGGAACTAGATATGATTGAAAAAGTTTCATTTTTAATTGATCAAGAGAGATTTTGTTAAGATAGCAAAGCAGGAAGTTGTAAAAAGGGCTTCATGCATCTAGTTATGGGACTATTTTACACTTACTGTATTAGCCTTGACTCTGAGAGTATTCTTTTGGTCTGAAGTTAATATTTCTTCTACAAACACATTAGCCTCTTTAATGAGACCTTGTTACTACCCACGGAGACAGAGCCTGCTGTGTGACACTCACGTGGTCGGCTACATCGGGGTTTCCTCCATCAGTCAGGTACTTCTCCACCACAGGCAGGTTGTTCTCCATGGCTGCTGTCAGAAACTCCTGCTCATCCACAGTCTCTGGCTGGAGCGTATATGCACAGACAAACTAAGATAAACATTTTCTCTAATGGCCGCTCCATGCTGCTTTGAAGGAAACTCAGCTGGACGTCAACTCATTTTCACAAGTGTCAGCAAAACAGTTTATGTTTTAGTGACGCAATAGTGTCACTGTAATATGATGAGCACCAACTGAGGGCTTTCTATAGGAAGACATGTTCATCTGAGAGAAGCTTTTTTTTGTTTCAAGCTTAAAATGGATTTCAAACATTTTAATAACCACACATTTATGTTAATCTTATGAAGAGTTAAATGATTATATGTGGAGTCAGGAACCTACGATGTTTGTGATTAACAGAGAGAAACAAAGAATAGAATTTTACCATAATCTCAGTCTCTGGCTTTTGTTTCTTGTGGACAGGAACCTTCCTCGCCCTCCTCCTCTTCCTCAGCTGCAGGATGTTGAACAGGTCGTCCACAGTTTCCAACTTCAGCCGACCGCTTTTATCCACCTGACAAGGCAGAGACGACATGGATAAGTTGTACAGTATTTTATGAGCTTGCAAGTAAAATAATAATGTGCAAGTCAGGCCAAAGGTACAATGTTCTCCTGTGAACTAAAGTCATCTCCAAGAAGAAAGGTGATAATGATAAGTACCACAACCTCAAAACTGTATTTAAAGCTGTACTTGTCTTTGTATTTCCTTTATTTCATTATGAGGTTATCAGATGCAAATACACAAAAACACATTACAACTGGACTCGGTGGTCTTCAGATACACTGTCATGTTAGTCTGTGTAAGAACAAACTCACAATTAAAAATAAGATATTTACTAAATATGGACCTGTGTTTGATCTGTTTATTTTAGTCTCATTTAAGATAAACATTGAATAATGTCATCATTATGGGGTTTAAAGTTCAGATCAGTTGGAATCATATGAATCTTAAAAGCAAACAACAATAAACCACTGCTACTGTAGAGATGGGAAAGAAATACTCCAGACACGTGGAATAGTTTGCAGAGGGAATCACATGAACACATCTGGTATCGCTGACAACACTGAAGAGGATTATACATTTACAAGTGTGTGTCTTTTTCTTCTTGTTTCTTCTTGTAGATTGTTGTTATATCGAGTGGTTTTAGTATCGTATTTTGTGTTTCCCTGTGTGTAACCTTAGAATGCTGCTGTCTAGCCCGTGGAGAGGAGACAAAGCTTTTGGTGAAGTCATGTTAGTGTGTGTTTTGCAGCAGCTATGCCCTTGTCTGACAAACGTCTCCACTGCAGTTGTATTTTTGGACTCTTATAAGTGCATGTGGCTTTGGCATTTGAAAGTGCATGGCAGCCTATTAAAAGTTAAAAATTAAAAGTTGTGGAATGCAACAAAGTGTGTTCACACAAATACTGTGCTTAAATACAACTTCGAGTTACTTATACTTTCTCAAGTATTTTCATTTTATGTTACTGTATACTTCTACTCCCCTACATTTTCCAACATACCTGTACATTATGTGCTGGACACCACACAGTAACTATGGTGGAGGTTCATAAAAGACAATGCACTGTGAATATTTTAGGTACATTTAGCCGATAATGTCTATGTATGTACACTTAGGTACATTTAGCCGATAATGTCTATGCATGTATGTATGTACACCGGTGAAAACAGCTACTTCTGTTTTCAGTATGTTCTTACACTGAGCGCTGCCACGCTGACTTCCTCCTGCTCACTGCTGCTGTCACTCTCCTCTGACAGAGCTCCACCCACCAGCCCTCGGTGGGACCGGTGACCATCCTGCTTCTCATGACCGACCGCCACCTCATATATGCCTCCTTGGAAGTCACTGGCCTCTTTGCCCTCCGACCTCCTACTGGTCACCTGAAGGAGAGAAGTGCTGGAGATGTTGTTCACTGAATCATTACACCTGTACGCAGGAGAACTCAGTATAATCTGAACTGAGATGTGCTACACAGACTCTTTTCTTTTTGTTCCAAAGAGTCAGTCACAGCAGCGCAGGAGGTAAAATGCCACATGACCTTTGTTTGTCTGTCTTAGAATAAGTATTAACGCCTGAACGTACTTTTTAACACACGTTATAAAAAGTTCAACAAACACAAGTGAGATCAATAAACAAACAAGGAAATGTTTTTCACTTTCCGTAGATTTAGTTCTCTTCTTGGAATACCTGGTAATATCCTGAAAGTGCAGGATTGAAAGTCGAACCGTGAACAGATTCACACACTGATGTGTGTAACTGAGCTCAGCACACGTGCTTGTGTTTTGTATCGCAGTTAAACACATGAGCAGCTGGACTGCAGGGCCGAGTCCAGCTGCTAACAGAGGAATGTAGACATGCCACAGCGTCAACACAATAACACACACTTCAGCAACAGCTCATTTGAATCACTCACATAAACATTTATTATAGTCCTATGACCTCAGGCGAAGGGAAATGTGCAGTGACAACAAGGAGGGTTACAACTACTTCATCTGATCCTTAGTTATCAGTTTGGTATTTAATTACATTGCTGTGAAATTATCTTCCCCTTAACCTACGTTGTAATTAAGCAGCCCATCTGCTAAGATTGCAAAGTAAAGGATAATTAAACAAATAAAAAAGGTGATTTAAGGGAAGCTGAGCTCAGATTGTTTTGTGTGATTTAAGAGATAACTGAGGTAAGATCATTTAAGAATGGTCCTGATGTGCTGCTTTTCTTCTTCACACAAGTAGTTGTCGCCTCATTCTTATTATGTGCAACAATATAAATCAACTGGCTTTACATGCATGGTAAGCTACTGGAAATGGCAAAACAATTCAACAGCTCTGCTCCAGAACAAGTCCACAGTCTTCTTGCTCTGAGCATCACCAGCTGCACTACCACACTTTCATGTCTTATTGAAATATGTGAAGCTTTTCCTGGTTCAACAGTCATTAAGCTATAAAAGCTGAGCCCAGAGAAAAAGATTCTCTTTGAGCTGAGCGAGTTATTTGATTTGATAAGAAAATCAATTCCATAACTTTACATTTTCTTGTAAAAAAAAAACTCTATTCATGCTTTTCTTTGGTGGAGTTCTCCCACATTATTGTGAGGAGAAGTAGAGCTCCTCCAGCTCTTTGGTGGCTCCCTGTCTGGCTGTCGCTTACATTAACACACATCAGCAGATCTTACCAGTTCCTCTACACTGAGCAGTCCCATTGTTCCACTCAATACGAAGTAGTCTAACAGCACTGTGGCTTTGGAGCAGGAGTTAAGCCCTCTGGTCCTCTGCTGTGGTGGTCACTGTCTCTGTGCCTCCTCTGCCTGCAGCCGGAGTCCTGGCCTCTTATATCCCTGTCAAACTTCCAAAGAAAAAAAATTAGAGGTTCTGCCACTCACCTCAGGTCACATTACCATCCTCATGGGCTCATCTTGCATGCTTAGTGTTACCATCATCACCTCCCACCCCATCCTCACACCCCGCCCCTCCATCGGGCCCAGTTTAGACGTCTGCTGGCTTCTGTGTGTGTCACCAATCAAAGATGGAGGCGAGGGAAGAGGTGTCACTCTGCTTCACACTCTGAAGACATTTGCTGTAATCTTGTTAGAGAAGCTGGAAGGTCACATTTTCAGGCTGGGAGGCAGTGAGAATTTAATGGGATGTGATGCTCTCCCTGAAAACCCCACTTTCTAAGTTTTGCTTAGTTTGAAACAGCACACTTTTTAATGAAGCAAACTGAAAAACGCACCTAACTTAACCTTCCCTCTACAGTTTGTAGAGCTTGAATGTAAATGTGTATATATATGTGTATATATATACACTGTATATATACATTTCCGGTAAACACTGAACAAAGTAGCACAAATGCCAAAGGAAATGAATGATTGATGATGAAACATTTTGGATGTCAAGGCAAAGCAGAGTCTTCTGGCACAGCTTCACTCACTGCCCCGGTGGAGAGATGAAGAAAAATGAACTGAAAAGGTCAAAGCAAGACATGTTGGATGTCAGTCAGTTGCACACCTGTTAGAGTCAAAGCCCCTGTTTATCAGGCCAGCTTTTCTTTGCCACTGACTACAGCGTGCTTCATCTTGTGAAACACAGACTATCTCTGGCAGCGTCACTCTTGGCATGTGGCCACAGAAATGCAGTGATAGGACTGTGAGGAGACAGGCTCATGGTAGATGAGGAATAAATAGTCACACTTCCAAACATCCTTTAACTGCACTTTAACCAATCACAGGTCAAGGTCAAAGGTCAGCAGGATGCCTGACTGACAGAAGCAACATGATGTCAAGTGGTTTTTGTCTTAATGGAAAATGTGGTCACATATCAGACATACTCTGACAGTGATGACACCTGGCTAGATGTGATGAGCTCACCGTCCACCAATCGCAAGCTGTGGAAACACGTGAAAAGAACTTCAGTTATTAAAACAATTAATATTCATTGTCATAGTCACGTTTGGTCAAAATCATGGGGAGCTGCAAAGTGAGTTCAGATTAAAAGCTCAAAGATTTTCTGACACCTCGGTTCCCCTCACTGTTTACAGACACTGGTTGAGCCACGCTGCCAAAGCTCCTCAGCTCCCACAGCCTCCACCGCTCAAACACAGCTCACTCAAGAACTGCAGCGCTTGTTCACTGCTCTCAGATGTTTTGGATATACTTAGATAGATTTACTTCCATATATACCATTATATAACCATTGTATATATTATTCTGAAAGCTCTTCTACCACATATATGTACATATACTTATATAGATTTATGAAAAGATTGTTTCCCCTAGTCTTTCTTCTCTCTCCCTTTTTAACTGTGGTAAGGTGCCATACTTTATTTAGTAAGTACAAAGGCTAACAGCAAAATGGTAGTCTTGATTTTTAAAATGTAAAACTATAATGATTTCTTAAAGTTGCAACAAAACAGCACAGTAACAAGACAAAACACTGAATGTGGACACATTAACAGAAGAGTGCAGGGAAATTTAACATGTGGTTTGTGTGTGAAGGTGTGTTGTGTCAGTGTGGTCAAATCTACATGGAGTCTGGTAAGGAGGGAAGAAGAAAGGAAAATAGATAAAAGATAAAATAAATGAGTAGAAGAAGCCCAGGGCAGCCCGGCGGGGTCGGGTCGGCCAGCTCAGCAATGCTGCTGTTTTGAAGACTGAGCCAGGGCAAACAACAACTCAGTGTCCTGAGTACCCTGTCCTGGGAGCAGCAGCAGCACTGACCAGAGGGCATGAACAGACATGAAAAGCAACGTAATTATTTTTTACGCTGTGTCTGCCCGCTGACAGCTCACGCCTCCGTCAGGAATAGCAATAACATGCTGTTGCAATGAACATTATTTATTTGGTCACACTCTTGCTGTGACCAAATAAACAATGTGCAGCTCACCACTGTAAAGTCCCGTGTTCCCATTTCAGCTGCAACTCCCTCCTGTCAAACACACACCTCTCAGCTTTAGCTCATATTTGTCAGCAGTCTAAAGGAGGGCGCGAAGATGACACTATCTTTATATTTGTATGTGGGTGGCGAGTTCCTGTGCAGTCCGGTCAGTGGCGTGCTGGTAGTCTAAGACTGGTTTGGCAATAAATCCAGAAGCACACATCACAGGATTCTGTAATTATAAATAGGCTCAGTGCAGAATCCCTTCTCTGGAAATATATCTGCTTACTCTATTATTAGCTGCATAAATCCTCCTCTCACCCAGTGTCCTCATTGGAGCAGGGGGCTGTTGCATGTGCCAGATCGATTGCAGTGCCTCACACTGTTTACGAGCGTGTCATCGTATGAAGATAATCTTTCACTCAGAGAGACAAACCATCCTGCTGTAATTCACAGCGCTGTTTGCGTTCTGACAGCCGCCTGCAGCCGTCCTCTATCCGGCTGTGTGAAAGAGCTGTACCTCTGAAAGGGAGAGGATTTAAAGGTAATTTGTTGGTAGTGTGTGGGCAGAAAGATAGTGCTCTGTCATGTTCATGTAAGGTGCTTTAGATAATATTTAGATGCCATGAAATGGCCCCGTATCCCAAGGAAACATGTTCATATCGGATAGTTTCACCCAGGAGCAATTTACCTCCAATGCCAACGTTCAGTGTCGGTGCAGGAAGTAGTGTGCTATTTAAGACACAAAGTAAAGGTGTGGGATGGCAAAGCATTCAGAATCCCAGCGCCATTTCGAACTATGCAAATGAATGACATCCACCTTTATGTCTTTTGCAAAAATCGTGTCAGAAGTGTTTGGAGTGAACATAACAAAGCTGTGATTTACCTCGATCAGTGTTCAGTATCTCACAGTTCTTCCAACCACTATGTTCTGCACTGCAACAGCTCCAGTGTCTGTCAGCCGCAACACAAAGGCGCCCTAAGACCTGTTGGTTCAGAGGTTCCCTTTTGGAAATCAGTGGTAGAAAGAAAGTATGTTGCTAAGCAGGACTGCTGGAAAATAACTGGTGGAGAAAATGTTATATGTTGCCAAGCAACATTATCTCACTGGCTTTGCTGGGAGCTACTGGAAAATAATAGGATGTTCAGAATGGGGAGTAAAACAATGTTAAGTGTTTCAGATTATGATTCATGTTTTATTGACATGTTCATTAGAGGGATCATTGTCACACAGAAGTGGCACAGTGTCTGAGAAAAGTGTGGACAAATCATCTGAACTTTGAATGTGTTTTTACACACTCCTGCCCTTTTAGGACAGGGTCTCTGTGCAGCCAGTTTGGAGAGAAGGAATAATTAAGCAACTGCTCACTAGACATTTGGACACATGACGGTTATAGACATAACAAGCTTGTGAACCTCTCCTTTAAAAAAAGCCCTAAATGTTTTTGTTAGCAGGTGTTGATTTTGCGACATACACTTAAATTGCTACTCCACATGTTGTGAGCAGACACTGAAGCTAAACCAGACATAGAGGCAACATCCTGTGGCATGTGTTTGTATCTGGGAGGTGTGCCTTCATGGATATGTGTGCACAGAAATGCCACCTGCTCACTGTGAACAGGTGGAGTGGGCAGCAACAGGGCGTCAGAGGCCGAGCGATGAGGAAAGGCTCAGCGGCACCAAGCAGCAGCTCCAGAGGGATCAGAGCTGATCCTCAGGTTCAAAGTTAAAGGAGGGAGGGGAGAGCAAATAAACACGTGACACCCCTCTGCAGCCATTACAGGTTAAAAGATAATAACTGGATTTATTTTTGTTGTTGTGGCCATTCTTTGACTTTGGTTAAACCTCGAGCATACAAAAATGTAGGAAACAATATGTTATTACTTTACAGCATTTGTACAGTTTGTGAGAAATCCCTTTAACTTATACAAACAAATGTGTGTTTTATCACTCAGGAAAAGCAACATTTCATTTGTAAAGCCAAACCAGACTGGTTCCTTCTTACAAGTGAGATGAATTGAAATCATTTTAGTGTTAAACAACCTGGCGACGTTAACTGTCTTGCTCAGAAACCATGGGCGGGTGTGTGACCCGTCCTCTGTTACACTGACTCACCCTGCAGGCTGCTGCCAGGAGCATGTCTGTGGTCAGAGGCAACGCCGTGCACTGATGCTCATCGCATCCCTTAAAATAATCCCAGTTTGGTACTTTCTGACTCAGCTGTTGTTCAGCTGCCACATGCTTCATTTAGAGAGACGGGCACTCAACCCCAGCATTTGGCAATACAAAGTAGGGGTAAAAGTTAAAAGGGCGTGGTACAAAATGGCCACAGTACATGTGTGGGTTTTAATGATAAGTTACTCTGGATACTTAGATTTTGAAGGAAAGCTCCTTATCTCCATGGTATTCTATGTCTCACATTGTATAAAGCCAAGAGAAAAGGTGAATAAGTTTCTGTCTGTGATTGTGTTACATTTGTTGTTGTAAAATCTAACAAATTGGTCATTAATTACTTTTTTGATAACAATTCATTATAGTCAAAATCTTCACTGTTAAAACTGGAAATATTTCAAATATAATTGCTACTCTATTAGAAGATGTTGATGATCTACTTCTGTCATCTGACTGGATTTTCATGCATCCTACTGCACGTCTGCTGCACACAGCCAACAGTAATGAGCTGGACCTGTAGGTCAGGAAGCACAGTGCCTAAGTCTACGTAAAACAGGAAGTAACTTGACGTGTACCAAAGGATGGTTGTACCTAGTAGGTCAGGAAGCACAGTGCCTAAGTCTGTGTAAAACAGTCTAAAACAGGAAGTAACTTGACA